AGGGAAAAGTGGTAGACCTAGCTGAAACTGATTCTGTTGCACCGAAAAACCTGAGGTGCTAGCTCTGATGACTACAGGATTAAAGTCACGGGTGAGGAGAGAACAAAAACAGTGATGCCTTGTGAGTAAGCTACTGTTCTAAAAACTAAAGTAGCAAACTGAACTGTTTCAGTGTCTCTGAATGTTGTTTGTCCTTATGTTCCTGTAAGTATTGTCAGACTAGTTTTGTGAAGTTTCATACAGAAAATCATTGGTACTAAAGCTGGGAAAGGAACCTCTCTGTATGTACTGCTGGGCAGTCCTGTATATTTAGTATTGTAATGCAGCTCTTTGGAATATATCCCAATGTCTCTTTAAAATGGTTGCATTACAGCTTAATTATGGGTAAATCTGCCGAGGCTGGCTGGAGCAAGAAGGAACGTGTAACTCGGGGGCAGACTGGTGGTAGGAGTGGAAGTAGTGGTAGTGGCAGAAGAGCTTTCGGTGTATGAGATGAACATGATTTCTGGGCTTAAACCAAAAGAGGCCCAGGTTAGGCCAGTCTCCCTGGCCTCTGATACCTGGCTGTGTGGTGTTGGACAACGGTATACCCTAGCTGGTGAAGGTGATGGCCTTTGCGTAGCGGCACAAGGTAAACGTGGCAACATACAGCTCTCAGGGCTTTTTGTGTAAGTCTGTAAGCAAGGACACTGAGTTTTTCTTGATGTGCAGGTTTCTCTGCTCAGTGTATTCTTTGACAGGATTTTGTTGGAAGCTATGAGAGAAAATACCCTCAGTAAAGTGAGGAGAGAGGATGTCTCCCCGGCCTATGTTAGCAAGGATCTGAAAAGGATTTTGAAGGTCAAAAGCCCTCAGCTACTTTTACCCTATGCTGCAAGGGAAATGCAAGCAATTGCAGTCCTGACCAACACACAGTTCGGGTTTCAACTTGGACTTCATCCTTGTGGACTGCAAGTTTGTGATTCCTGCAACAGATGCTCTTGTATTCGTATGTAATATGTACTGACTTGCTAAGTGAACACCAGTGTGTCAGACTTTTGTGTGGCAACTCCACTTTAGCAGTTAAAAATAATTATCCTCTTAGCCTTTGCGTTCTAAGAATTAATTTGAGTCTGTGTTTTCTGAAAGCTTCTAAAACTTGACTACAGATGGACGTTCAAGTGTTTCTGGGTGGCTTCTCCCTACTGGAGAGAACAGCATTGCACATAGCATTTTAAAACTGTGAAAGCCGTGTGAGCCTTGGCAGTCAAACTTTCTGATTCATGACTGACTCTTCTTTTTGAGACCTGAGTGTCTTTTCGATGTTTTGTGTCCCAGTGTGTGACTGTGCAAAATAAGAATTCTTCATTGATAAAGGAAACTTTCTGTCAATAATTTTGAAATGCTGTAGTGTTTTACTACACTGGAGTGTTTTACGTGGCGTAATTTGAATCTAACTGACCAAAACGTTGCTCGTACTTAGCCATGCAAGCGTACTTGGCAGGAAGTGGTAGCACATGTCACCAGGCTTGCTCTACGAATGTTTGCAGCTCACACCGCTTCCTGTTACTGAAGTGAAAGAACAAAAGAAACACCAGTTTGGAGTTTGTTTTAGCCTCTAAAAAGTTGCAGTTGCAATTGTTAAACTTCTTAGTACCATAACAAAGGTATTTATGGCCTTCCCCTTTATATTCTTCTTCTAGCTTTGGAATTCATCGTGACTTGAGAATTTTGTGAAGTTCCTACTGGAAATCTTAAGTTCTGAGAAGATATTTTTTGTGCAGATCTTGAGTTTTAGAAGCAATCAAAGGCATGGTGGTACAAACCATTTTGGTGCTGCAAGGGAAATGACTAACCACAAGAAACCAGTCTGTGCAAGGCATGGATTGGTGCACGTAGATATCTAACTGCAGCGTAAGCTTGTTTTCTCAGAAAATCATCCCTACAGGAGTCTTGCACTGTTAATGCTGATGTGTCTTAGCTTCAGTAGTCGACAGCACATACAGAATTATCTTTACACCACAGTAAGATACTTCTCTTTAGTAGTCTGAACCGAGTTTTCCCCGATGGTTGTTATGCATAATTCCAAGACTTCAGGCCTAAACACAAAGAAGCTTTTAGAACTGACTCAATTTGCTGTTGTCCATGGTGCAATACCCTTTCCAGAAAAATCTGTATTTGTGCTTTATAACCTTTGAGGCCAAAAGAAAATTGATTCTGAACAAAGGTAATTTGTTTTCAGACCTGAATACAGTTACCTGTGGTTTTAGGTATGGCACTGAGTTAGGAGAAAAGGGAGACACAAAATCCTATCAAATTTAAAATGGAAGCACTTGCCAAACTTCTCTTACAAATAATAAAGGTTTTTTTGAAGTACATATCATTATTATGTCATTTTTAGAAGAATGCAAATTAATAAAAGTGTCTTTTTGCCTGTAAATCTACTAGTGAATCATGGGAACTTGCAATTGTGGCAGTAGTCATAGCATTTTAAATTAATGCAATTAATTTCATATGCTGTTTGAAGTGCTGATGAGATATTTCTGCTCATAATTTGTATTCTAACTAATGGGCTAAACTGCATATCCATAGCATATCGAGATTACGTGGTTGAGCCTTGGTATTTTCAGTATATTAAAATATTAATATTGCATGCTAGAAAAATGAAAGTCAAGTAGTTAATGATGTCCATATTTCATATTCAAATGCTGCTGTAGTATATTAAAAAATCCCGTCACTTCCTGTTTAAGTGATGGATGAATTCTTAAAGCTAGAAACAGCATTTTCCCAATTAAGATACTCTTGATTATTGTCACTTAAATTACATCTGAGGAAAGCAGAAATTCAATAAAATAACCTACCCCACCCCCCAAATCTTTTACAAACTATGACTAAATATCAAATAACCATTTAAGATTCAGTGAAGAAAAAATGAACCATTAGTTTCAAAACGGATTAATTGCGGGGGGCAGTACATGGAAGTAGCTGTCTTGGGATTCAAAACTCTGGCAGCCACGTAGTGGGACTTGATAAGTCTTAATTTGAGCTATGTTATAGTATAGGTTTAGAGATGTGAAAGTTAAAATAGTCCAGGGTAAAGGCTAGTCCGTTTGGAAATCTTGGCTTTGATTCATAGATCCATTTGATCCCTCTAAACCTTAAAAGGTATTATTAAGCCCTTTTGATTTTATTTTTTTTTTCCCCCCAATCATGCCTTAAAATCTGTATTCAGAATCAGTCTCAGAATTGATGAGTACCATGTAGAAGTGTAAGTGGAGTGGAAAGGAGAGAAGGGTTTTCTTGATGCCTTTTAGAGCTTCCTAGAAAATCCAAGTTACTTGTAAACTGGTGTTACTTGAAAAAGTCCAATGCATGATCAGTTCAGCCACCTTCACTATATAGCTTTTATCTCCTGTGATGCTTTACCATTTACTTGATGTCTGATTAGATTGCATTAAATGTCAGTTTCCAAAAGTAGATGGCAGTTGTGAAAAGGAACTAAGGGATTACAGCATGTATTTTCTCCTCAGAGCCAGCAGAGGTTCGAGGGAATTGACTTGAACTGCAGGGGCTACTCAAAAGTGGAGAAAAATATACACTCAAACTAGTGACCTTATTGGTCTAAAATGGGAAAATTTTGTGATTAAATCTTCCTCTCTTAATCTTGACTAAGTAAAGGAGTGAGACTGAGTTTGGTCTGTTTTCTTTGTGCAGAATAATTTATCCTTGAGATGTTGGATGCAGCTGAAAACCTTTGTGTCTCCTCAGCACTTCCTAGTGCTTGAAAGGAATGACAACTTCAGAATAACTCTTTTGCCTAAGTCTGCTCTTACCAAATTGTCGAAAGGAAACGGAACACTTCCTTTTCATTTATTGCAAAACTCAGAGTATCTCTTTCTCTGACAGGAATCGACTTTAAGATTAGAACAATAGAATTAGATGGAAAGAAGATCAAGCTACAAATATGGTAAGTATTCTGAAGTAATTTAAGTTTTCAGTGAGCAGTGAATTAATCTTTGAGCAGGAATGCTTCATAGATTTTGAGCCTGGGTGTACCAGAAGTTTCATACCTTTTATTCATTGACTGTCCATAAGGTTTATGCTTGCTCTTGGAGTGGTTCTGCTTCAGTAGCACAGGAAGTAGCCTGTTCGCATGTGAATGTTACAGCAACTTCCCATTTTATCAAAATTTTATCTGAAATGCGCACTTAGCTATTCCACGTTGAAGAGAAGTATTAACTCCCTAGCTGTAAACTAAAATATGTGACCTGATAAAGTGTAATCTCCTCTGATACTTTGATACCTGGTTGTACTCACAGAGGCACAGTGAGTGATCACACTCCTGTTTCTTGCCTGGTATGTTAGTAGAGACTGAGCCTCCTGATAGCAGCAGATAAGCATTTTTGGAGTAGTGTTATACATGCTAAACTCTTTAAATGCTACTGGTGAATGTAGGGCTCTTGCTGATTTCCAAAGTTCTAGAAAAAATAGCTGTGATACTTGCATGCAAGCCAGAATTCTTGTGACTAAGGATACGAAGTGCCAGGAGTGATCGGTAACAATTTTCTGTCTGCAATGTATGTCAAAAAGCTGTGTTTTTTCAGGCCTTTGGGGTTCAGCTCCCCCTAGGTGTGACTAGTAGCCAAACACTTTGGTCCTCTTGTTCACTCACAGTTACTGCTTTGAAGTCATCTGGGATAGAATATCAGTACTCTAAGGTATAGTGGGTGATTTTAATAGCTAGCTGTATGTGAAAATGCACTATCCTAAAATAATTTACTGCTGCATGTTTTAATTTTTGTTTAGTGCAGGACTCAGATGCATCAGAGCTGCCTTTTTTAATTATTCTAGAGAAGACTGTGTAGTGCTGAATTTTATTGCTTGCGTGAAAATTTAAATGCTTTTGTGGTGTTTTTATGGTGCTGATGTAACCAGTGATGTAGGTAGGATAGCTTGGGAGTGAAGATGATGTTGAGGGCTAAAGAAACTTAGGCAAACAACTTCTGAATGTTGTTTTTTCTTAATGAATATCAATACATTGTTACTCTGTTTAAAAATACATCTCTAAGTACAGAAGATGTAAAGATCACCTCCAACAAATAGTTTTTTTCACTGAATTTTAGGGATACAGCAGGCCAGGAGAGATTCCGCACGATCACAACAGCTTACTACAGAGGAGCCATGGTGAGTGCTCTCACTTCAAAAAAAATTAGGCACAACTAGTGTAACTGGTTTGCTGTTCTTAAGGTTATATCATGTAAATCTTCAATTGGAGGTTGTGGTTTGAGATGCAGGGAATAAAGTTTGTAGTTTGGCTGAGTTTTTTTTTTGTGGGGCTTTTTTGTTTGGTTGGGGTTTGTTTGTTGTGTTTTTTTTTTTTTTTTTAAACTTGCTGGTGCTTTGTCTAGTCCTGTTTTTGTGATGAAACTTCAAGCCCTATTGTCTTTTAAAATATAATTAGAATTTCTGCCGATTATAATAAGAAGCTAAGTTGCTTTGATCAGACAAGTTTTTAACACAATCAACCCCTTAAAACATTTCAAATGTTTGAAAAACAGGTAATAAATCATTTTAATATTAAAAGTGTATTTCACTGAATTGCTTTTCCTTCAGTCAGTAGAGAATGCAAAATCTGAACTAGAAATACAGTCACCTACAAAAGCTACTGTTACTTTTTCCCTCCATTTGACTTAAAGTCAAATAACTGACTTGGAGCCTGCACTCTTTGTGGTACAGCTGCTTGTAATGGCTCTTAATGCTACGAAACAGATACTTTATGTTGGAACACTGTTAATTTCAACTTGCTGATTACTAGCTATGCTGCTACTACATGTTCTTGCTGCTCTGTATGAACAGATCTGTTCCGTTCGTAGGCTGGCTGTGAGTCCAAGTAACTCCACTGTTACGGGATAGAGATGGAGAGAAACAGTAACGGTTGTGGCTCTGCGTTAGAGCTTTCTAGTACTTAAAAAGGTTTTGGCAGTGACATGGTCTTCTCCCCACCTCCCAGTCCATGGCCAAGGACTTTTCTTTGTCCTACGAGGAATGATTGGAAAGGCAATAAGGAATGGAGGTGAACCTGGCAATCTGTCCTTAATGCAGCTGTTGTGCGGTTTCCTGTGCTTTGCTAATTGTTGAGAGCCCATGTTAGTAGGCGTACATAGCTGTCTGAGAGAGCTAAAGCTTCTGGGAGAGCACCTAGGGTCAGCTTTGCTGTAAGTATTTACTGGCCCCAACAGATTGGATCTCACAGGTTTGTCATCTTTGCTTGAAGCTCCTGCTTCTAAATGTGGCTTTAACAATTAGTTAAAGTGTCGTGGTTGCTGCTGTAGTAGAGTTTCTAAACTTTTCCTAACTATAGGCTTATAATTTAAAACTTCATATTGGTGATGTGTTTGACTTCTAACACTGGCGAAAGGTGTTAAATAATAATATTTTGGGTAAATTCTCAGCAATGGCATAATGCTTTGAGAAAGGATTATAGGTGTGTAAATTTTATGTTGAATTTCTTGCAAGTGTAGTCAAACCAACAGCATATATCAGAAGTTAGCCAATAGCATTAGTTCATCTAACAATTTTCTTAATTTTATTTAGGGAATTATGCTGGTGTATGACATCACAAATGAAAAGTCTTTTGACAACATAAAAAACTGGATAAGAAACATAGAGGAGGTAGGTGGTTTGGAAAGTACTTCTTAACTCATTCCATCTTATGATCTCCCTGGGACAAATAATGATCAAGTAAATGAATCACTTTCATTAGAGTAGCCAACACATATGGCCAAATTAGACTGTGCAGTGAATGCAACAGTGGTTATTAATTGGGGAGAATATTATCTCCTTCATCTAGGAATAGAAGGCAGAAAACTGAAGTTTAAAAAGTAAGCATAAACTATATGACTTTTACTGTTCTTTTTTTTTGCTTTTGGGTGTGTCTAAGGAATGGGAAGGAGCAAGATCTTAGGGTGTCTGCCTTTCACTGGGATGATGAGAGATCTGTTTTTACAATTTCAGTTGTTACTGTGTTGTGTGTTTGTCCAATTAGAGATTTTTGACCTTTTCATTTGGTCTTAGGTAGGCTTGCTTCCTGCTAATTTGTTTTAAGTTATTTAATGGGACATGCTGTCAAGTAGGGATAGGTCATTATGAAATTAGAGGAGAAACCTGAATTTTAGTGAAGCTTGTAGTTACATAACAGAATCTTACTGGTTTTTTTTTTCCTTAAACAAAATCCATGGGCTTTTCTTTAGTGTTGTTCTTTGGCTCCCAAGCAAATTTACTTTATTAGTGACCAGTTTGATCCAATAGTGACTGGGCTAGAAAAATTCTCTTGCTGAAGTGATTATTACTTAACAAGTCTGTCTTTAAGAATCTATTTTAAAAATGCCAATGTATTTCATAATGATACTCAAACCAAATACCCCAGATGTCCATCCACCACTTTACCTTAAAGTGTTTAATGTTACATTTCCAGAATAGCCAAATGCCAGTGCCTGTGTGCAACCTGTACAGTCCCTGCTCGATGGAACTCTATTTGATCTGTAATAATACTCAGGCAAATTTAATCTAGGAGTATTTATTCCAACCAATTTTTATATTGAAATATTCAATGGCTTATTTCAAAAGTCAATCTCTTTCTCAGTAATGCCTTCATATTAGATAACTTTTTTAAAATAAAAATTGATTTGACACGTAAGTTTCTTTTAAATAATTATGCTCTTTGTTTCTGAGAGATTACTTTTTCTTCTTTCAGCATGCCTCTTCAGATGTAGAAAGAATGATCCTGGGTAACAAATGTGATATGAATGAAAAAAGACAAGTCTCAAAAGAAAAAGGAGAGAAGGTAAGCTTCGGTGACTTTATTTAGAAGCCTACTTTTCTTAGGATTTTGACTGCTGGGTTTTTGCTATGTTTTAGGCATATGAGAGAATGAGCCTCAAACCTCTTCTTTCAGAAACTTTTATATATCATAGGATGCCAGGTTTGGGTTTTTTGTTTTTAAGCAGCACTTGACTGTCTTCAAGTTTGAATAAACTTAATGATACTGTTGTCTTGAGGGGAAGATCCTGTAAAGAATGTTGACCTTCGCTAGAGCATGAAGTATTCTAAATTTCAATATAAAGCTTTATGTATAGTTTGATCATGTTGTACTCAATTCACCGTGATGAATTCTTACTCTTTTTCATAAATAACATTATTAAAGCTTAGGTAATTATTGTTCTGCAGAACAAACAAACAAGTAAGAATACTATATAATCTATCTTGTACACAGCTAAAGTAGTGTAGTTGCTAGTAACACAGCTCATGGGATAGTGTGTAGTTATCTGGTGCATAAATCCTTATCAATGTTGATTCTATCTTAATGTTCTTTTAGATCCTAAATAAGTCTTTTTGTGAGCAATTAGTCTCTTTGTTGGTTTTGAATTTACACGAGGGTATGGCTTGTTCTAATATTTTGTATAATTGTCCAGTAACTTAATGTTTTTGCAAGGGAAAAGCAGAAATGAAGCTTGTTTGGTTTTGATTTTAAAGCTTGGTCCAGCATATAGCATTTATTCTAATATGAACCTACGTGAAACATTCTTTTTACAAAGGGACTTGAAATACACTGAAAAACTTTAACCTCTCTTACAGTTAGCAATTGATTACGGAATCAAATTTTTGGAGACAAGTGCGAAATCCAGCATAAATGTGGAAGAGGTAAGAGAAGGGTGTTACCCTTAGGTGTGTTTCTTGAACTACTAATACTATGGAGGCATGTTTCATGATCTACTGGGCTTTCTCACCTGATCTGGGACTTCAAGTCCCAACTGTGCTCCTGAGTCACCAGTCTTGTTATATTTAGAGAGCTACTGTAAAATCCAGCATTTCTTGTTTTCTAGTAATGCTTGGAATTATTTTTTACATGGGTATTAAGAGTGGTTTACTATTATTGTAGCAAACAATTGTTTCAGGCGTCTGTGCCTTGCTACTTAAATTGCAAGTGCTTTTAGACAAGGAATAGGTATATTTTTAGAACAATGCTTTGTGCAGGAAATGGGTTTCGAGATTCTTTACTTTCAGTATAACATGCTACTGTGTCAAGGAGCCTTGAGGTTACTACTAAATATGTGCTGTGCACGAGGCTGAAGATTTGTGTGTTAAGCTGGAACATAGAATCATAGAATGGTTAGGGTTGGAAGGGACCTCAGCATCAGCATAGACTGTCATAAGCTGGTCTTAGAGGAGGAAGGCGGCTTGTGATACTCTGTCTATAGACTTGCAATCTGTTTTCCTACGAATAAACTTTGTGCTAAAAACACAAGATTGCTATTTATGAGAGCATAAGGAAATAGAATCGGAAGGGAGCGGCTCAACTCTAGTCTGTCTTACAATGAATCACTCTTGTCATCTCAGGGAGACTGGAGGAGGGATCTTAGCTCTGTGAAAAGTGTGGATGAGAAAATAATGTGATATCAAAAAGCTGTTACATTAAGATTCATTCACTCAGATAAGACAGGCTTGTTCTTAAATGCTGTTCCTGTACCTGATCATCTAAAAGCCTTTCCATGTGTATTGTTGGGATACCTTTTAAAAGTCCTCCAAACATACTTAATTCAGATCATGTAGCTAACAAATTAACTAGAAACTGAAGAGATTATTACTTTAAAATAACATGACTGATGCCGTGCCAGCCAAGCGGTTTTCTTCTGTTTGCAGGATGATTGTTATACACTATAGTTGAAATGGACTTAGTGGCGTTGTGCTGCATCTGGAGTAGTGCTTGATCTGATTTTTTGGTGTCGTTATGATTCTTACAGCAGACCATGGAAGGGTGAACATGAGCAGCTATTACCAACGGCGGATAGCAATAGTCTCCTAATAAAAAGTACTTGTCTTCATTAATCCTGTCAATCAAATGATTGACTTGCTCTTTCATGCTGTGCCCTGCAATTTCATTTTAACTCCTGTAGGTCATTAAGTACAACATCAGTTTGTGCTTACTCCAAATGACTTGGCTTTCTGAATGTTTTTTTTAATTGTCACATGAATAGTGAAAAAAGCATTAAAAAATGCAGCTGCTATAAGCATTCAGCAAGTAACAATTTAGTCTTCTTTCTACCAAATGCTTAACTTGTGGGAAATTACACAATTGTTATGTTCTTATGATAACAAGTGAATGAATTTATTTTATTTGTTGTGACTTATTTGCATTAAATGAGTGTCTGTCTTCGGGAACACATTTACAGTTTTTTACATTCTGGAACTGTCCTTGGATTGTTGCTATCTCCAGATACCCTAAAATCTTGGTTTTCCCTGCTTCTGGCAAATTGCAGAATTTTTCTGCTGCAGAAGTTTCTTTGCTTCTTCATACATAGAAGTCTGAGATGCTGAGTGTTTTTTTTTTTTTTTTAATAGGGATATTGGAAGCATAAATAGCATTATAGGTAGCCCAGGAGCAAAACTTCTGGAGGACAGAGAGGAAGCTAAATCTAATGTGAATTTCCAGGCATGCCATCCTCAAACCTCTCTGAAGGTTACTAGTTGCAATACACAGTAGTTTGGCACAAAAAAAAAAAGTATTAGTGCATGCAGCCTTCTCTTCAGCCAATATTTTTTTTTTTCCCCTAAGGGGTATGCAATGGGAAAGTCTGTTCATTTGCTTCAGAGATTAGAGGGATGGAGACTAAAAATAAATAGATTTTTCTTCTAAAGCGTGGTTGTTGCAGTTTTAAGTAAACAGCTATTGTATATTGAGTGCCTTGCAACTCAAAGTGACCTACAGAATACTGTATTGTTGATGTGTCTGGCTACTCCAAATCTATCTTGTCTTTAATGTTCTTGTGACTAACACTCACCTTTTTTTATTTTTTATTTCTGCTCCTCACCAGGCATTTTTCACACTTGCACGGGACATTATGACAAAGCTCAACAGAAAAATGGTTTGTATTTCCAATTGATATGCAAACTAGATACACTGAAATGACTGCTATAATAATCGGCTAAGTAGTAGCCCTGCCAAAAAACTCCTGGGGATTACAGTGGATGCGAGATCAAATTTGAGCAAACAGCGCTTTATCACACTTGATTACACATCAGCGTGTAATTGTTCTTTATTTTCTCTGAACATTAACACTAAGCAGCCTGAAACTGATACATTCTTTCAAAATGTGACAGTGTGATCCTTGCTTTACGAAGTATCAAATTACATAATCACTCCTTCATCTAATACTTGAGATCTGGATTGTTGGATAAATGTTTCTTTTTAAAATAGGCAGTTTTATTGAGTGATTAACAGAGTCTGGATAATTGAGGGCTCAAGTTGCAACACACCTCTGCTCTGGTTATTGTTTTGCAAGGGTGGGAGAGGTGGGGAGGGAACCTAGGAAAGCTAGACTTATTTTTTCTGTGTTTTATGATATTAATACTTTTTTCTCTTTCAGAACGACAACAGTTCATCAGGGGCAGGTGGGCCAGTAAAAATAACAGAAAATCGATCTAAGAAGAGCAGCTTCTTTCGATGCACGCTACTTTGATGAACTTCTAATGATAGACTGCGGCACACTTAGAACCTTTTCTGCTTCTTTGAAAGCACAGGGTCACAAAGCCTCAGAAATAATACCACCAAGCTGCTGCTGAGAGCTCCATTGAACGTAGACTGCGATACACAAAATACCAAGTGGATTTTGCTCACTAAGCCTATTGACCTGTCAGGCTCTTCTTTCTCAGATATGGAAGCTATGAAGTGGAGACACAAATGCAAGAGTTAACTTGTTTTCCTTTTTTACTTTCTGTTTTACTGCCTGTTGCAAGAGCTGCTATGTTTCTTTTAACTTTGCACATCCATATTGGCCTCTTACTGCCTGTTACAGCACAATCTTACATTTGCATTTGCACAGTTTGACTTGTAAGTAAGATTCTTAACAGATTTGTGCAGGTTTTTCTTTCTCTTTTTAAACAAATTTGTTTCCAAGCAGAAGAGCCAGAAGAAAAAATTAAGTCTCACTTCCATTGTTTTCTATGCTGTATACTTGTGGCCATGACTGCAGTATGGATGATAACACTCTAGTGATAAGAATTACTGTAACAATTGGCATTTAACAATTTGTATGGGTTTCGTCTCTTTGATGCACAAATCTGTTTCTGCAGAAGCTATGGCTTCTATTCTGAATGTAGTATGTTGCTTTTCTTTCGATACCAGACTTGGCAAAGTTGTGTTCTGAATTGCCAGTCACACTCTGATTCACAGATGCACCTTTCAGTTATTTGAATAAACACAGTGTCTTTCCTCACTTAACTTCCCTTTGTCAGCTCAAACTGTCTACACCTTTTTTGTTTCTGATGAGGAAGTGCGCTCTGGCGTTGAAATCATCGTCACAAATCGGCCTCATCACTGTCACTTAAGTGGCTTGTGGAAGCTGAATGCATGAGTTTTGAGTAACCTCTTTGGATTCATTTGTTCAGAAATGACTGCTTCTAAAGGCAACTTGCATTTCTACTGTAATTCTAAGGATAGTTAGATGTTACAGATGTTAATGTCTGTAAGCATTGACCCTTGACAACCGAGGTGTCCAGAAACTAGCTTCCCACGCAGTTGCTGAAGTTTATCAAGTTCAGGCACTAAGGAAATGGTCACATTAGAGCTGTGTACTGTTAGTTACGCAGTTAATGCTGAATGTGTGAAGCCCTCTTTGGTCTGCTCAAGCAGTTAAGTTGTTTTTTCATCAAGAACTGGTACAGTGACCTAGACTGTTAGAAGCAGAGTTGAAACGTAGTTGCCTTTTTTACTCAACTGAGCATTGTATAACCTAGTCTTTGTTCTACTACTTTTTTATCGTCTTCTGAAAAATTTCCTCAATGAGCAATTAAAACAGGTGCTTTAGTTTTGTTCATGTGCCAAACTTGGACCATTGTAAGCTTTAACTACAAGTTTTTTGTGTCAGCCTGTTTGTTATTAGGGGATAGGTGCATTCTGTCATTGTCAAAGCTGATGTCTGATGTGCTTGCTTTTGCGTCACTGATTGTTTAGAGGTGTAAACAGTGAGTTGGTTGTTACCACAGGTAACCATTTCATTTTGTGGTGTCAGGTACTGAATTTGTCATCTCTGGGTCTGTTGTAAGTATTTTGAAAGTGAACAGGCCAACCATGTTAGATTTAAAGACTCTTGATTTTAAAAGGTTTAACATGAGTAGCTGGTTCCATAGGGTTTTACGTGATTATCAACCTGTCCCCACATATAGTTTAACAGAAATACTTATTGTAACTAGATGGTGAATCTCATAAACTGCTGTTGCTGCACTAAAACAGAAGAATCTTCATTGCAACAAGGTTTAGTGAAAAAAACAAAGCAACCCTAACTGCTCTCTTGTCTACCCTTGATGTTTTTCTTGGACAGGCTAAAGCAGTTATGTTTTCTGTATGGTTAAAAAAAGTGCTTCTATACAGAAAGTGTTGTGACACCAATTATGAATGTTGTTTATTTTCAGTAATTTACCTCTGACTTATTTGGTGTCGTAATACTTTGATTTTTATCTCAGGGGTTGTCTGCAAACCAAAACTGACATGTTCTGTGTTTGGCACTGTTTACAGAATGCTTTGTGTTGTTTTTCCTGTCTTCGCTGTGTGGTTAAATGTTCATTCAATATTAGTCTCCATGAACTTCCCTTTGAAAGAGCCTGTAAGTAGTAGAGTCTATGAAGTGCTTCTTGAAGCAGCAGCGAATTGGGGTATCTGCTCTGTGGACGGGAGGGCGGGGGGGAGGGGAGAAAAAAAACTTGCTATTTTCTTACATTTAGCTGTGCTAAACTGTACATAAATGTGAGGTAAGACCATAGGAAATTCACTTTATGCATGATAAAATAATGCAGTAAATACTTCACTTTGCTTAATGTTCATGTAAAGTTCATCTTTTTCTATTTGTAGAAAAATTTAATGCAATTTTGTTGTCCCCTGCTGAAACTGAAGATTTCTAATTTCATGTGGTCTTATGGATAAGGTAAAATGCAGATTTCTCTCTCTTTCTTTGTTTTGCCCCCACTCTTCTTCTCCAGCAGTATTAAATGGCTGAGTGGCTGCACTTTATTGGTGTGCTAACTTTTGGTCAGTATAGACCTCTTTCTGTGTACAGTCTGCCTTGTCAGACGTTGAAAAATGTGCTGTATCTTAGCGTGCAAATCAGCTGTATGTTTTACTGGGAATTTTTAGCCCTATTTTCCTTTAAACAAGCAGGTGATGATAACTGGTATGTTTTGCCTGCGTGTCAGATGCTAGGTACTTCAGGCTTTTCTAATAGCACTGTGTTTGTTTTGTGCAGTCTCTGTTGCTTCTTTGCTCAAGACTATATAATCTAAATTTTGAAGGACTCTTAACTATACCTCAGTCAAGTAGTTAGTATTTCAAGTAGTTAGTATTCTAATGCTCATTAGAATGAAAGTCATCTAATTGTAATTCATTAAGCAGCAAATGTATTTCTCTTTTGTTTCAGAAATTGCCATTATCCATTCAGGAAAGGCAGACATTTTTTTGGTGGATTTCGATAAAACAAAAATGCTGCTTTATGCTGTTGAGTTTTATGAAGGCTTTCCCTCAGCCCCATGTCTATGCACTATATCTTGACTGATACTTTTCTATATGGTTTAAAAAAAAAAGCTCCAAACAAAAAATAAACTGGTCTTAGTGCTTTGCAATTTTAGCTTTCAGTCTGTGCTCAGCAAAACATGCACAAGAAGTTTTTGTTGAGTATATATATAATATTTGATTTACTTACTGTCTGGAAGTTCTATTATTGCTAAAGCTTAAACGAGCTCACTTTTCTGTTTGGGGGGACAGTCTCAAAAATGCTGATTGGCTTTTCAGACCTGTAGCTCTTTTTAGAGAAAGTATTTCCCATTGTAAGTACCTTTCCCATACTACTCTGCTGAAGTCAAGTGAATTAAGCGGATCGCTTTCACAAGTGAATAAAGGAGTCTTGAATATACATATCGCATTAAAATATTGTGAATGGATAATGATTTGAAAGTACATGAATAGTATGTAAAATGCATAAGTGTGTTATTTGTGAAATGCATCTGTTACTTAGTTATCTGTTAATGTAACTGAAATTTTGCGCTGTTAAACTTCCTAAGGATTGGTCTGTAGGTGATAATAGGTCTTCTTTCCTCCTCCATTCACTGAACTGCTAATGCCTTTCTCATTCTTATAAATAAAACTTGTATTTCTTTCTTCCACAAAAGCAGGATTTCCATGTATTTTTCTTATTTCTGGTGAATTTAAGTATTTTAGTGCATTCCTATGGCCTTACAAACATTTTTGCAAGTAAAACTTCAATTACAGTTATTTTAATGCTATATAGCTACTAAATTCAGAATAAAAAGTATAGTCCTTGAGAAAATGCTTAATTTTGAAATAGAAGTGATCTACTGTGTGTGTTTAAGCACATTTTATCTCTGGTATAAAGGTGTAATGTGAAAAGCTCCTGCAGATAAAAGTGAACTTGTCATGTGGTTAACTTGTAAACCTAATCATTAACTGTATATTGATGTGTATAGACAAAAATCCAAACCCAACCCCTAAAGAAAACTTCACACTCCAGTGGTTTTATTATTCCATGTGAACTTTTTTACAACGATGCGTGTCTCAAATAAAAGTTACATAATGAAAAGTTTTTGGAGTATTTTGTATGAAATATTCCACTTAGTTCTAATACAGTTGACATTTCCACTCTATTTTCGATACATCTGTTGTGGAATGGTGTCCAGCTGAGTTGCATCTGTAAAACTTTGTTTAACTTCAGTGGCAAACCACAAGGGTTTTTGTACGGCTTTGCTTGTTCCCAAACTAGACTGTTCTTTCGATTTCTCCTGAAATAGCCTCTATTCCTGTAGTGATTGCTTACATCTATTATTTCAGTGACCTTCAGCTTCATAAGGAATTCCAGACATTTAGTGCCATGAAATAACCTTCCAGAGTAACTTCTGAACAAAGAATAAAGATAATATGAGACAATCTTCAGTTTGATTAAGCATTATCTACTCACTTAAGCTGCTAACACTTCCTTTTTTGTTGTTTTAAATTAGTGTTATATGAACGGTATGACTCTCAAGTAACCTGAGGCACAAATACCATGAATTAATGTAGCGAGTAGTGTTTGTCCAACTTCCTTCGACACTGAATGTTGAGGGATTTGGCAGAAATATTTGTTGGCTATTATATTAGCAATAGTTCTTGACTTTCAAATCATTGTGATTTGGCAATAACTCACAACTGGTATGAAAATGAGCGAACCTAAGGAGAGAATGGTTTTGTCTGCCTAAGACAAAAGTTGGTTGATGCCCAAGTGGGTACCCTAAGGAATAAATGGGAAATGCATGGATGACAATTAGCTTCTAGAGTTTGTTCTTTTCCTGTGTTCATCTAAAACTGTATTTAACTGAAAGGATGTAATGTCTCTTTACCTTAAGCAACAGAAGGTTAGAGTTATGTTCTTGTTACACGTTATTTGTTGGCTTTGGTTTGTTTCATTGTTTTGTTTCATTTTTTCCAGACTGCTTCTGGCAGACAAGTTTGCTGCTTTAGGACCAGCTGTTTAAACATTATTTTGCAGATCTTGATCTGAACTTGTTCTAGATGCTCAGCAGTCCTAAAATCACTTCTGTCAGTCCTTCAGTTCTTGCAGAGGTTAGTGATATGCATCTGCATCCCAGTAACATTTTAAATGCATTTGCATTTTCCATTTGTTAAAAGGAAATAGCAGTCATACTTACAGTGCTTAAAAATGGTGATTTATTACAGTTCCTGGATCTACTCTTGGTTACAGACTAGCAATTACTATACAAATAGTGCACGCTTGTAGACTAGAGGCAAGTTCTTGGAACAGGTGTAGAATGCATCCAGCTTTTATAATCTGGTAAATTGCCTTTTTCCTAAATGAGTCTTTTTCCAACTTGACTGGCTGGAAGCTCTTTAGGACTCTTGAACAATACCTAAGTCATCAGTATCATGTAAGATATCAGAATAATTTTTCTTTAGAAAGATTCTAATCTTCAAGAGATAGAAAAACGAAGCTTTTATATTGTATAATGTTATTCTTGCCATCTAGAGGTTTACAGAAAGGGCATGGAATGGAATGCAAAACATACTGAAGACAACTTTTAGGGCTCTGAGATATTTTGTAGTTGCTTCAATAGAGCACATCAGCACTAAGCTTCTGGTGTGAACAAATGTTACATAAATTCCTCTGAGCACGTATTCAGTACATATTGTTCCTTCAGTTTGCGAAATAAAGTTGCACGT